TTAGCCCTCGAAAAGATTGCGTGAAACACTCTAGAGCATTTGATATTGAAATCTGAAAATCTCTGAGATCTGACAGACACATTGCAAGCTATGGGAAGTTCATGCGAGCTCTTATAGTATTTTCAGAATTAATTTAAAGATCATAAAATAAGTTGCAACGAAATTTGAATGCCCTGAAAGATATTTTCAATGTTCAAAAATCGTAGAGAACTTGAAAACCAGAGATGATGGCTGATCCAATTCCATGGAACTGTCCAACGTCTCCAGCAATCAATAGACAGAGCCCACAGAGCCCATCAAGGCAGTCGGTCGCGGTCATTAACCTCTCCTCCAGGCAATCAATGGCTATTGGGAATGGATGTGGATTGACCCCCAGGCCGGTAGTGACCCCCATTGTCCACTCTGCCAGTAATAACGCGCCTCTAATTCGAGCCAATTCATTAATCAACCAATTAGTCAGCTGGTAAGTAGTCGCTGCCAAAACACACACCATTCGAAAGGGAGAGAGGGAGTCGCGTCGAGTCGAGTCTGTCCGTGCGAGTATTATACCATAAACGTATAAATATCAATTTGATCTGTCAAATATTGACACATCAAACCCTAAACAAACCAATGACAGGCCCAGACAGCCAGCCAGCCAGCCAGCCAGCAAGCCAGCATCCCCCCGGCGTCGCTCATCTAGCCATTTAGCGGCAATTTATGAGCAACAAAACACCCAAAAAAAAAAGGACAAAAAATTGGTGGAAAAATAATAAATGAAAACACTGAAATGATGCTCGCTCCGTCTCTCACTCACTCTCTCTGTCAGACACAGAACCCGAGAAGCCAGAATCCAGGCACAGCAGCACAAGCAGGAGGGGGAAAAAAAAGGGATTTTTCAGATAATTTCAAGGGTCCTTGACTTTTGGGCCCCGCAATCGCAATGAGCCAATGAATGATGCTGCTCCTGTTGCTGTGCCCATTCCACCGTCCTTTGAGTCGAGCAATTATGTGTATTATATAACATCATGTTGTGCAGTTTAATGTCAAAAACTTGGTTTTTTACACCAAAAAACTGTTGATGTTGGGTGCGAAAGGTTAGGGGATGCTGGCCCCTGGACCGGGAGGGACCATTCCTCTATTTCCCATCCATCGGCTACTGGTTTTGCCGCTCTACAAGAGTCCAGAGTCCTTGTGGATCAGGGTTCAAAGTGCGTGTGAATATGAGGATGTTTTTGTTGCTGTTGCTGTTGCACGGGATGCTGGGCAACTTTTTGCGGTATTGTTAAGGTGTGAAGGGAGCGATTAATGCCACAAACATCAGACTCTGAGGACAATTGAGTGAGGAGCCCGTGTAATGCGATAAGGCGCCAATCCCCGATTCACAATTATCCCATTGTGATCTCTCTCTCTGTCTCTCTGTGCTCTGTGCTCTGTGCTCAGTGTTTTTCTGTCTTTCTTTTGGGTCAAAAGTGCAGGGCAAAAAAAAAAAGGGGAAAATACAGGAAATTACATTTGAGTTATCCTCTAGACAGGAGCAGGAGAAGGAGAAATAGCAGAAGCCGCAGCCGCAGCGCGCAGCCGGATCCGGATTCGGAGCAGGAAAATCAGCAATTAGTCAAGTGGTTAATGAGTTGAGCGAAATCGGATCGGATAAGGACACAAAACAGCAGCGGAGCTGAGAGAGTGGAAGGATATGAGGACTGTACGCACACACCTCATGATGGATTTGCGATTTCGAATTTCGGGTTTTTGGGCTGTTGCGATTTTTCCCCTTATGCCGAGGATGCTGCTGTGCATTTTCCGGCACATTGGCGAAACTGCAATTGCAATTGGTTTTAGGTGTGGGGTGTGGGGTGTGGAATGTGTGGTTCTGGGTCGTGAAAAATGGGTGGAAAAAGGGTTAAGGGGCTTAGAGGGTTGTCCCGGGGCGCAGTATGGCAGGCAGCACAATGACAAAAAAAAAAAGAAGCGAAAAATTAAAAAATGGCACAACAGGCAAATTTCTCTGATTTGGATTTTTTTTTTCGTTGTTGTTGTTGTTGTATTTTGCAGAAGGGTTGAAAGCACGCAACTGCAAATGGGCGGAATGGAAATGAATTTTTTGAAAAATATTTTCAAATACACAAATTTAACGATGCTAATGTCGCTTGCACTGAGAGAAATTCCAAGAGAAGAAGTGTCAAAATGCCCTTCAGGCAAGCAGAATTCTGTTGTAGATGATATAAAGGATGAGAAAACAGCAGAGAAAGAAATATGTATATGTGCATTGATATTACTTTAAAAAAAAAAACTATTAAAACCAAGAAAAAAATGAGTTGGATTTCTTTTCATTTATCTACTATAAGTATATATTAACAAAAAAAAATCAAAATATTATTTCCATAAACTTTAAGAACAACTAAATATTAAATGAATAACTTTCCATTCATGTGAAAAAGGTATATGTGCATTCTAAATATATATTGAGTATATTTGTAGAAAATAGAAGAAAGTAATTAAAGCCTTGCAAAATTTTGTAACTATATTTTCTATGTGCTGGAATCCCACCCGAAGTTATGCGATTTATTTTTAGCAGAGCGTTTATCAATTATAATAATATTCCAATTATAGAACTGGTAAGCAAAAGACATAAAAGACATCGTCAGAATAAAAAAATCAGACATGTTGAAAGCTGTTTGAGGGCATAAAAGCAAAACTAAAATGCGCTAAAATCAATCAAATATTAATAAAATGAATGAAATATCAGTTACATCTTCAACTTAGTTCCAATTCATTTTGCTTTGAAGTACGGCTTGTGGAATCATAGTAACCGAACGATTTTAACTGAATTTCAGCCCAAATGGTGACCTTCCCCAGCCATTTTGTTGATGCCCCGCATAATCAAATGCTGTGCCGGCCCCCACACCACCACCACAACCCAACCGTTGGCCAGAAATGAACCTCATTCGATGCCGTTTCGAAGGGCAATTGTCCACAAAAGCCAGGGGATATCACAACGTGGACGTGGACGAGGATGAGCAGTATCGATTGCCGATGGTGGCCAGGTGTTGCCGTTGCCATTTGGATAAATTTCGATTTCGATTTTGGTTTCGGCTTAAACCGAGCGAGACATACACATGGATCACCTTCACCCCCCGGCGCCTACCCAGCCCTACCCTTCCCAATCCCAATACCATCCCCAACCCTAAATACAAGGCAACCCCCCTTAATACTCATATTGTATCTACATACATTTGCATGGCCTCATTTCTTTTCATCCATAATTTTGAAATTGCGAGCAAATTTTCCCCGCGCCGCTTGATGTTTGCTTCGTGGCATAGTTTTTCCACACACACACACACACACACACACACAGGGAAAAGGATTATTTATTTATTACGAAATTTTCGTCATTCGATGCGCGGCTGTGGCGCGTGGAAAGGTGGAAATCAAAGGTGGAAGCGGGACTCGGGGACCAGGCCAGAACTCGACGGCCGCCGCAAATGTCGAATTATTCAAATGATGATTCCAACCCCTCGATGCGATGATGCCGCACCGTGCACCGCGCACCCCAACCCTCTCTGTGATATGCAAAAAATGAAAAAATGTAAAAAAAGAAGCAGAAGAATGAAATGCTCGTACGCACACATACAGGACACACAGGACATGGGCTTGACTTGGGTTTGGGCTCGGGCTCACTTTCAGATACAGGACGCACAGGACATAGGAGATACTACATACATACATATATATGTATATATATATATGAGAGGACCAGGCGCGTCGCGTTGATTTTTGTGTGCACTTTTTTTTACCTTGCGGCAATCTGGTGGCAGACACACACACACACACACACAGAGGGGAGAGGGGAGAGGGGCAGAGAGGCACGCACGTGGTGTAGTGGAAATGGCCCTCATGTTCCTGCCACACTGCTGCTGTTGTTGCTGTTTCCTTTGTAGTTTGCATGTCCCGTTTCGTCATATGAGATCGCGAACGTTTTTCAAATTTTTCATTTATTCAAAAACAAGAAGGGAACATCAGCCTCAACTTCGGGCAGAACGAAGCCTTAGATACCCTGAAACTATTTTGGTATTATTATTTTTGCCCGTAAGGATGGCCTGTACTTTATGGATAGATAGAGGAGTCCCTTCCCACAGATATAGGACTCCATGGAAGCACATAATAAAAAAAGATGTGGAAGGCTCAGATGGATATTTCTAATAATTATGAAGAGATTCATGGAAAAGATTCCTTTTGAGAAAGAAAGAAAACCCAGCTAGGGGTAGAATCTCCGCTAAGATATATTCCGCTCTTATAATCTCTTATCATGTGCATTGTCTGCCCAAATCCCATCGCCCAGCGAATATACCTCCCATCGAATATCACCTCCAAATGGACAGATAGGATAGCGACGAACAGGACTCGCTGGGCGGCGGCGGCCCATTCATCTGTATGGGTGTGCATACTCGCGAGTATTTATGTGTGTGTGTGCGTTCGTGTAATATGAAAGTCGCTTTTGAAGACATCTGCGTATTTTTCCCTATCCAATATGTGTCCTGAATCGTCCCTTTTCGGACTCCCTGTAACCCCCCACCCTATACGGGCAACGGGCACACGTTGGCATATCCCTCCAGTCAGTGTCGCCAACCACAGTCGGTATTTGAATTCATTTAATTTGCACCTTGTTGGGCAATTTTTATTTGTTTTCATTTATTTTTTGGTTCTTTTGGTTCCTGATGTGCATTTCTATTTTGTGTATTTTGGTAATTTTATATGCCGGCTGGCAACATCTGTTCCTTGGCGATCTGTTCATTGATGACGTGTCTTAAAGGTAGGGGTCGGACCTGCATTATCATGCTGGTTGGTGGCTGAACGATTAATGCTAATTTGGACATAAAAAACGAGTAGCAATTTCTAACCGAAAACATTCTTATTTTTCATGGAAACAAATACATCATTTCTTTTAACTTCACTTCTTTATATAACACAAACAAGTCGATGAATTTTTAAAAGTTCTCTCTATCGAGTACTCAGACATTATTTAGTCACAATACTTTCGGGAGTGTTCAGTGAACAACCAAACGCTTGTGTAAACTTAAAATAAATACGGAATTTTTTTGTTTGCCAGCAGCCATGGCAAGCCCGTTGGAAAATAAATTGGTCAATGCGGCCAAGACCATCGAGCAGCAGCTGGACCAGCAGCTGGACCGCTTGGACAGCCTGGACTCCGATGATCTGAAGGTGTTGCGCGAGCAGCGCCTACGCGAAATGAAAGAGCTGAACGCAAAGAAGCAAGAGTGGCTCAAAAACGTGAGTACTGTGATGAGAGCTAACACTGGGAGCTGGAGCCAATTGCTTGTCCCCTTCCCGCAGGGCCACGGCACCTACACGGAGCTGGCCAGCGAGAAAGAGTTCTTTGAGGTGTCGAAAAATTCACCCAATATCGTGTGCCACTTCTACAGAGACAGCAACGAGCGCTGTCGCATTGTGGACATGCACCTGAAGACTCTGGCCGCCAAGCATGTGGAGGCCAAGTTCTGCAAGCTGAACGCCGAAAAGTCCCACTTCCTGACGAAACGCCTGCGCATCGAGGTGATACCCACAATTGTCCTGGTGAAGGACAGCAAGACAAGTGACTTTATTGTCGGATTCACCGATCTGGGCAACTGCGACGATTTCTCCACGGAGATTCTCGAGTGGCGCATCGCCCACTCCGGTGCCATTGACTACAAAGGTGATCTGTTGCAGCCGCCAGATGTGAAACACAAGCCGTACATTAACAAGCCCAAAAAGACAATACGTGGCGGCGGTTGCGGCTGCGATTCCGATGACTCTGACTAACTAACTGCAGCCTCCCATTCCGCAAGCAGCTCCCAGCAACACACATACATCCACACTCACAGTAACAAACGAAACGAATCAGCGCACACACAGATCAATAGCTAGCACAGGCATCTAAGCTTAGATTGGGCACACCTTTTAAGAGTTATTTATTTATGGGGCAGTGCCTACTACGCTCTCTTCTCCACGCATTGCTCCCCCACGTACAGCATAATTATTTGGTTGGCTTTACACCCCGTCTGGGCGGTTTATTAACTCTAAACTACTATCCACGATTTACGCACGGTTATGCAAACATTTTGACACTGTTTTCAAATACACTTTTAAATATTTGTACCATGTGGTTTGTGACAGAAATTTGCAAGCATCCTCGAGTGGCGCACTGAGAAGTCTGTGCCCTTGGACGCAATCCACACATCCTCCACACATAAAACGCTCTTAAATTGTAAATGTAAAAGATATAGAAAAAATATATACAAAAATGGGCAAAAAAACAAGAACCAAAAATAATTGTCTAATAGATTTTTGGGTTAATTTTAAATCTTTTTGCGGCGCTGTAAAGCAATCATTGAATATCACTATACAAGGCCTTTATGGCTCTTTCATAATTCCCATAGCCCCGTATTTAATTGCAGTAATTCTATAGTGATTTGATCTGGAATTTATCTATCATTATGTATCTCTCTGTATATCATTTTCTACACACACATTTATATCTTTCCTTCTGGTTAAAATTATATGTATATTTTTTTTTCGCACAACCACAACTCGTTCCTCCACTTGATTACCCTTCTCACTCTCTTCGCAATAAGCCCAAAATCGAATCCAAATCAAATTTGAGTAAAAGTCACCAAATAGACACAGTCCCTGGCACCACCCCAAACCCCACAAACACACACACGCACACACACTCCCTTCACAAATGGGGAAAAGTATCCCTAACTGGACCCAGACCCCCCACACACACATCCAAACAGGCAAAAATAAGAATAGAAAAGTTTGCATAAATGTCCACAAACATGTGGCCCAGTCCCAGCTCCAGCTCCAGTTCCAGTTGCCTCCATTTTAGAGATGCTCCACCGAACACCCCGCTCTCCCGCCCCCGCAACTCTTCTATTTTCTAGCCGACTTTGCGGGGGGACGCTGGTTGGATGGGTGGGTGGGCGGTCTGCCTCCTTTATATACTTTCTTCTGCTCCACTCATTGGCATCGTTGGCGACTTTATAAAAATGTTTGCCCTTTCGGTTTGTTTGTTTGCCTACGCGGCGATTTGTTTTTCTGTCCGTCTGTCTGTCTCTCCGTCTGTCTGTTTGTTTGTTTGTCTGCTTGTTTGTTTGCTCGACTGCGTTTTGTGTCGTAAATTTAATGGGTAGCAGCAACAACAAAGGAGATATCGAAAAGGAATCGAAACGAATTGAATGGCAAACGGGAGCCATGCATAAAAAATTGCCAAAGCCCAGCGAAAGAGAGGATGAGGCACATGGACGGGCGACACTGGCAGCCAAGGGTTATCTTCGATTAGCCCGAAATGTTGTCATGGCCTGTGGTCGCACATATGTGCCAGGCAGGGGGATTCGCAGTGGAATATGTGGCATGGTGGGGTGGGCTTTTGGGGGGGGCGGCGGGCAATGGTGGGAGGTCTGGTCTGCATGTGTGAGTGTGGTCATAAGGCCAAAGCACAAATAATAACAGTCACGCGTCGTTGTGCCACCACCCACTCCCACACCCACGAATAAGTAGCGGAGAGAAGAGACGAAAAAGTAGCAGACACAGCAAAAATAAATATTAAAAAATAAAAAAAACATGAAAAATAACGCAAAGAATAAGTTGGTACTAGAAGACGTACCACAACTGGACTAAATAATGCTCTATAAAATATATAGGGCAGAAGGTAGATCGATTTTAGGAAGATACTCTATGTAGGAAGCAAAACAATAAATATGAATATTAAATTAAATATTAAATATACATTTTAACACATTTAATTTTAATTTATAGCAGTAGGTATGTATAATATATTTATGTTCTTGTTTAACGATTTTGGATATATTATTTTAAAATGTTCACACATATCCATTCAGAATTGAAATATTAAACTAAAAATGCGACTTTCCTAGCATGAAAAATTCGATACAAATTGTTCACCAATTAGCACCGGAATATCATGCGAAATTCCATTCGAAATTCCTTGCTTATTTAATTTATTTTTTGCCATAAAAAAAACTGTGGAAAAGCAAACAGAAATTTCTATAATTAACGCAGTTTAATGGACTTTTTTTATTTGTTTAAATAAATGCTGAAAAACTATTCCGTACAGCTGCAAACAAATGCCACAATCGATGTGCCACACCAAGAAGCCAGGCCACCAGGACCCGAAACCAAAACCAAAACCGAACCCGAACCAAATCCAGTGGATACACCATGCGAATCCTTGAATGATTTTAGTGCTGCATCTCGCTCTGGGTTGGCGGACAGCGTCCCCCAAAAAATAGGGCCATTGATCAAAATTGTTACAATAATGGCGAAAAATCCACCCCGCATATACGGCGTGGACAGAACATACACCCACCCCCCCTGCCACCTCCCACGGACACACACACACACACACACACACACACATATTCAAGGAGAAGAGGGAGGAGGCTGGGTGGACCGTCCACCGTTGACTGTCGACCGTCGGTCGTCGTTCCCTGTCCTTCCTCCCCCTACCCACACACTGTTTTCCCTGCCTTTCATTTGGCATCTACCCTGGCCCAGCAAAGTAAACAAGGGTATATTGTGTTTATGTGTGTTACAGGCTGATGTTTCGAGGCAATCAATTTGACATTTGGAAATTATATATCATATCGGAATAAGATATCATTACAGCCTGTTAGATGTTACAATTATTACAATCGGAGCTATTCAGTGCACTTATCGCAGTTATTTTCAATCTTTCCACTTGAATCTCAAGGATATCCAACATAGCATCAATTGATCTTTAATAAATAAAGCCGCATAAACTCTACGATTCCTATTAGACCTACTAGAAAATGTATTCCTTTGTTCCTCTGTTCCTTCCGCTTTGTAGATCGAATTATTCCTTGCACGAACCATTTAGGGTCCTATGCTCGGACTTCAATTCCCTCTACCATATAATATCCACCACTAATTCCCTTCCTCTTCTTAAATCACTAATACTAACATACCTTTCCCGTAATTAATACTATTTCTTAGCTATCTTTGCATGTTTATTTCTTTATGTTGTGTTTAGCTCTAATTTTCCTCGAATTTTAGTCTAACACCTATCTTTGCTGCATGCTCGCGATCGGTTCGGTAACACGAGTCGCGCGTCATGCGGCTGCGCCCCTCGGTCGGTTGGGCGGGGAGGTTCGGCTTGGGGTGCATCACTTTATGGTATACGCCAGTTAATGGTGCAGTATTGAAAATTTACGCCACTGGAGAATTCATAACTTCACTTACTTATCCCTACCATTTCGAACGTATTATGATTATTTTAGCTATAAGAATTATCATTTGGTAAGGAGTATCCGATGGTCGTTACATCCACGACAGCATTTGCCACTTGTTTCATTTCGTTTCATGGCGAAAAACACTGCCAACGGAAAGCAAATATCGCCATTGCTGTCCGACATGGCAACGGAACGGACAACAGGACGAGAGGGCACGGACACAGAGCTGGTCGAGGAAGCAGTGGGTGGGGGCAGTGTGATGGTGTGGGGTGGGCAGGCCCTCGTCTACCATTGAAAGCCTTTTTTGATGGCGGCTGCTGCTGCTTCTGCTGCCAGCGATTGTGGTGGTGGTGGCTCTGTTGGTGGGTTGGCGGGTTGGTGGGCTGGTGGGTTGGTGGGCTGGTCGAGCAAGGTAGCAGGCGGTTGCTAACGGTTGAGCCTCTGCACGGAATGTCCAAAAGGACCAAGGGACCCGCCGCCGCCGCCGCCGCCGCTACATGTGTGTGCCACAGCATCGTAATGGCCACAGTTGTTGTTATGGCCAAAGTTCGTACGTGAGGGTCGAGCAGAGTCGTCGTCGAGTCGTGGACGCGAATGACGAGGGGTGTGGTGGGTGGTGGGCGGTGGGTGCTGGCCACATTGGAGCACACACACACACATATGTATATAGAGGGGGAGGGTACTGTGGGGGACAACATCTATTCGCATTTGGTCCTTTTTGGTGGCCGTTAGCTGGTCCCGGGGTCGTTTGTACATATTGCATCAAAGAAAAGTTTTCTGCTGTTGGAAAAATAAAGCAAGAAAAGTCCTGCACACACACACACACCCGTACAAACACACATACTTGGACCACACGCAGTCGCAATGCAAATAGCAACAAAATAAAAAATATAAAAAAATAAAGTTGAAAGTGGTCGTCGAAACGGACAGGACAACGCCAAAAGGATATGCCCAGACACATCTACATATACAACCATATATATGTATGTATGTATGTACATATATTTTCTTGGGGTATTCATGCAAATAAGTCTCCCGCCCTGCCTCGTTTTAGCGTTTATCAAGTCAGGACTCGAAAATTGGCTGCCATTTCGATCTACCCCAGCCACCACGGCCCAATGGGCCCCTGTCCAATCTAACCCAAAAAAAAACCAAATCAAACCGCAAAGAATTGAATCGAAACATTCTTGCAGCTTCATTGACTGTCGCCAACTCTAGAACTTCGAAACGAAACTCTAGCCAGAGATGATCCTTCAGGGGCAAATGATCAGACCTTCAAAAGGTTGGAAAGTGAAGAAGTGGGGCACCAAAAAAAGTAAAACGAGAAGGAACGTGTGAGTCGCTTCAGGGGACGCGACTCAACTTTTATACCCGTACTCAGACAGTATATATGTATATTCTACATCTACAATGTAGAATTAAAGGATACATACATGCAAGTATGTGTGTAAATTAATAAAATAAAATAAAATAATTAATACGTAGGGTGAATGCCCGTAAACAGGTTTAATTTAGATATAAATTATATCCAAAATATAGCCCAAAAACTGAACAAAAATGAGCATCAACTATAAATTACTACACTAAGATGGCTTGAGAAGATCCTTAAAGGCAAATTCGTTGTATAATGCAAAAGAAGTCAGATTTCCCATCATAGAACGGATACATTTGGGTCCACTCGCCCCGAGTCCCATTTAAGATCTTTAAAATTATTGATATTCCTCCAACATATTCGTTTAATTTTCTTAAAACCCACAGATCACACATGCCCAGCCCAGCCCACCCGCATCAGCTCCAAACCGCAACCCCAACTGTTGGCCCAACCATCGCCCCCTGCTCGGCCTTCGCCTTCTTCTTCTTCTCATCCTTCTGTTTCTCCTCTAAGGACGCAATCAGAGCTCGAACCAGTCCAGAGCAGGCGGCCACATCAGGCCCAGAGACCAGGGACCAGGCACCAGGCCAGGGCTGATCTCTGGGACAAAATATTAGTTCTGTCAAAATAAATTTCTTTGAGTAATGTAATCCCATTTTGTGGTCTTCACCCACTGGGAGGGAGGGAGGCCAGGCAGGCATGGGGAATGGGAAGGAGAAGTGGTACTATGTGGGGGGAGTTGGACTCATTTTTTTTTGCTCTCACACTCTTCACTCCCCACTCTTGCTCTGCCCCTCAGACCACCCTCTTGGTCACATATCGCATCAGGCGGAATATGAACGCGATAAATCTGTTCGTGATTGTTTTTTTTTTCTGTCTTTTGCCACACTCACACCCACACACACACACACACACACACACACATGTGGGTGGTAGCTTGGGCAGATGGGTGGTTGAGAGGTGTCCAACTCTGTTTGCGATGTGTGTGAAAAAAATGGCAACGGAATTCGCTAATCCCAAGGACCAGGCTCAGATTGAGCTTCAGCTGTCCTTTATTACACTATTTCCTAGGCTCAGGCCCCAAGATGTATATCCACATATACATATGTAGGAGAGGAATGAGGCTTGCTGAAGCGGTGGGGGGGGTGGGGGGTGGGATGAGGTCTGGGTTGGAATGGCAATCGGACGAAGAGCGAGTGTGGCAGGAGGAGCCGTGGCATTGGCAGTGGCTGTGGCAAAAGCCAGCGAAGTACGAAGTCGATTACGGACACATGTATTGTCGTTTCACGCACATGAGAAGACGTGACCAGGTGGGTGGATTTCCCACCCCCACACACCCCACCCCCTATGAGCAAGAGTACATATGTGTATGTGCGTGTGACTCGGTCGCTGGATGATGACAATGTCTCCTGACAGCTTTTGCGGCCGCCTGTGATTGCCAAAAATGAACCACGATGACGGGAAAAAAAAAACGAACAAGAAATTGCAAAAACTAAAGCCAACATTCAAAGCCGAAGGCTTCGATACCCTGACAAATGCAACGTCTACATGACAACAAAGTGATTAACATATATAATATATATGTATTTAGTTAACATTTTACCATTTATTAGTCTTTAATCCAGTAGAACTGTGAAATTCAATGCAATTTTCAAGGCAGCAAATAGTAAACTTATTGAAGCTGTTGTGAGATCTATTCAGTGCCCCTGCCTCCCTGGCTGTGTGTTATGGTACCACATCCAATTCGATAGATTTTGGGAATCCAATGATCTTCCCTGTTCCTCAAGCACAATTGATAGCAAATTCTACAGCAAAGGTGGAAGATTCATTCGGAATCAAAGACTATGCGAAGATAGCCGTGGATAGATACAAAAATTCCAACAAATACTTCTTAGTTATGTTTTTCATGCCATGTTCTTATGTACCATACCTCTACATATATCTCTACATTTCAGAGTCCAGCACCACAAACGACTAAGCATAATCGTAATACCCTCCAGAAGGGAATACACAACAACAACGAAAAAAAAAAAAAATATATATGTGTATATGTTTAAAAAATGAAACCCCTGAAATGTAATACACTCAAATACACACGCACGCACCATGAGGCAGGCCGTATGAGTTGTGATTCGCGGGGCAGGACATTGATGAGGCCAAATTTCTGTGATTCGTCATCTAAATAGGTTTTTGCCCGAGCACTCACCCACATCCACACACACACACACAACATACACAAACGGGTGTAAAATTACCAAGCATTACACACACGCACACACACGCCACGCCACGCCACACGCACACTCGCACACATCTAGGAGGGGGGAAATATCTCGGCCATTGGCAAGCTAATGGCCAAGAAAATGCCATGCAGCTGGTGCAGATTTTCATCAGCGGTCTCCGTTTTCGCCACTAGCCGCTAGGTGGCCAGCGAGACCAGCAACCAACAACAGCTAGGTCCTTTGATGCCTTACAATTCGATTCCAATAAGAACGTTGCAGGAAAACGCCGCTAGGTGGCTGCAAGGGGGTCCTTCGGGGCTGAAGGGTTTTTTTAAATTTGAAAGTTTCTCCTTGAAAGTTCTTTCTTAAAGTTGTTTCGTATTGAATGCCCATATTTTAGTTCAGATATTTGACAGCTGTTTGCAGTGCAGTGGGAGCCCCCATGGAAACCAACGATGAATGTCCATTCCCTCCTTCCTCTTCAGCTGCTGAAGCGCCGCTTGTGCTGCTCCGCGCGCAGCGTACCTTTATCTGCTTGCAGGATCGCTTCAGCAAATAAAAAACCATTAAAATCGGTGCAGCCGTTCGGGAGTTGCAAGTGTTCGAACAAAAACCGACTTTGTTTTACAGAATAAATATAGATAGATATATATTGAATTGTATTGAATTAACTTGAACGATGAAATACTTGAGGATATGCCTAATGGTTGGGGCAGTCATGGGGAGACCGTTTTGTGTTTGCGGCATATGTTCATCTGTGGTGCCTCTTAGTTTTCATCGTTCCAATCGAATTAATCTTCTTCCTCTTCCTCTTCGGAGTCATCATCATCCATACCATCGACAATGTCACCAGTGAAGTAGAGCACTGCCTTTGGAATGATTTGGGACCGCAGAAAGTGACCGATTTCAAAATCGGCTGCCAGTATTTGCCGTGATTCAACATCGACTGGATCCTCTGGTGTGTTGAAGAAATTAAAGAACGTGTCCATGGGAACTTGTTCGGAAGTGTAGCGCACTGTGCCACGCTCCTTATGCTTTTGCGTCTTCATGGTTGAGTGGACAGTCAGGTCCATTTTCTTCTTCCAGTTAATTTCGCATCCCGAGCAGCTGGCAATTTCCGGTCCTTCGAAGGCAAACGGACTATCTGGGTCAACACTGGACTTCACAACGTAGCGCTTTGTGAGCACCGTGTTCGAAAAGAACGCATTCTTGTCGAAATGAAACTCCAGAGTGTACGAGTGCTGCAAGAGTTCCGAGGTTAACTATGCCCGAACTAAGGATGGAAGCGTAGTTGCCTTTCTACATACCCCGTCATCGTATTTGATGGCAACGTCTGTTAGTTTGAGCAAGGCTGGTACATCGCATGACTCAATCATCTGCGACAGAATAGCGACATTGCGGAAAATTGTTAGCCAGAATGCGGGAATGCCCGTCGTATCCTGACGAATACTTTTGAAAATCTTCAGTGATTTAATGAAGTGGGACTTCCACTTGAATTCTGTAAGCGGGTCCTCAGGGTCTGTCCAGTTCGGCTTCTCCACAGCGGGGTCCACTGTCCCGACGACAACTTCCTTGCGCTTATCGAACAAGGGCTGATACTTGAGCTGGTATTTCTGCTCCAGCTTTTTTACCTCCTCATAGAATTCGGCCTCGATTTTTAGAGTCTCCACCTGCAGATTTTTGAGCACCACAAGTCTGTTTTGAACTGAAGCTGGCAGTGCTTTAACCATTTCACGTAAATACTGCCTACGCACTAGCCAATCCATTCCATTCGGAACGGACGGGCAGTCAGAATTTAGAGAATTTTGATCGTCCCCCGAATCACAGGACTCGGCATCTGTCCCGGCAGTGTGCCCCCCTCTGGTGGAGTGTCGTCCATTTGTATTAAGTGCAGAATTCGTCAACTCAAGAACTAAATGTGTTGCTAAACTGCAAAGTGACGCCAAATAAAATTGAATTGAATATATTTCGTTATCGTTAAGTTAATTTTGTTTTTAGTTTTTCGTGCTATTTGTTGTTTGACTAGAAATGATCTAAAACCATTTGGACTACTGCGTTAGTAGAGTTACAACAAAAATCTGGAATTGTTTTATGATTTAATCTTTAAAATGTACTTTTCTTTTTGTTGAATTAATATTTCTGAACGATAGCAAGGCACTATATTAAGTAAAGTGATCTCTGATGAAACTTTATTTGTTATTATTTTGATCACATTTTTTTCAGCGTAATATTTTCTTTTTAATTGCCACATCGACGTTTCACCTCAACTACCGAGCGCACCGCAAGAATCCCAATATTTATCTCTATCCATGTAGCCCGAAAAAAAACTCCCCAATGTGTCAGAACAGTGAAGAGCACGGAACGCTACATCTACATATACTTGGTATGACTGCCCTACTCCCACGAATCTTGGCGTGTTACAAAGGATTTACAAAAATTGAAAACAAAACATAGTAAGTTCCGAGAGAACATTGAAGAACATTTTAAGTGTTAGACTTTATTTAAGACCTATTATAAACAATTAATTAAATGTTCCATCATTTCTTGGTGGTAGTCAAGGCGGTGAGAAAAAAAAAAAAGGGGGGCTGAGAGCAGAAAGAGTGATTGTTTTTCTTCGTTTTTAAGTCTAAATGCACTGTAAAGTGTATGGTAGTTTGAATTGAGCTCAACTGGGCTCTAAGGGGAACCGGCCAGCAATCAAATCGAATAACGAATACGATGCGAATGTAGCATAACATCTATGTAGTATATCTTGTAAATAATGATCGCTTGATGACCATTGCTCTTTCGTAATCATAATAAGGGAGTGTGGCCGCCTCCACTGCTGCTTCCGGAGATTACAAGCGAATCGGCTTGGATTTGGTTTTGGGTTTGGGTTTGGTTCTTGTACTGGAAGTAAAAGTATAAGTTGGGCAACAATGACTAATACGACAAGAGCAATAAGGAGGATAGGTGTAGGTGTTGGTGTTGCCAGTGGTGGTGGTGCCAGTGGCAATCAGGTGAGCTTTGATCGCTTCTTGGCAATCGCATCCTCGACGGCACGCAGCTGCTTGAGCAGCTCTTCCCTTCTTGAATGCTTGCCGCCGCCATCCTTATCCGTGTCCTTGTCCTTGTCCTTATCCTTGTCCTTTTCCTTGATCTTATCCTTGGTGGGTGAATGACCATGCTTGTCCGTTTCGCCTGAGTGGATTGGCGATGCCAGCGCGGATACCCCCACCATGGTCGATGGCTTCTTAATCTCAATGGAAATCGGCGAACGTTTTTTGGTCGCTTGTTCAGCGGCTATTCAAATCGAATGGAGAACAAAAAGGTGATGAAAACTCTTCACTTTACTGTGAGAAACATGCATGTGGTGGAGACTTACGCTTTTTAATTAATTTACGCTCGTTGAGCGCCTTGTCTGTGGCCCGTATCCGCTTCTGCGGTGACTCCAACGATGTGGTAGACGATGAAGATCCCGATTCTGAATCTGAATACGAGGTATCCGAGGAATCTATACAAATACATATATCTGATTAAATCTATCGCTTATAGCTATAGCTATGGCTAATACCTGATTCCGAGGATGTGGAGCTGCGACCTCGCCTCCTCTTGTCGAATTTCTTGGGCGAAGGCGATGAGACCTTCTTCCGCTTCGAGGCGGGACTGGTACGCTTTTCCAGGCCAGCTCCTCTCTTGTAGGACGGTGAGGGGCTTGCCTCTGTGGATGGCACAACAGAAACAGAAACAGACATTAGAATTATTTTCCCAATGGATGTCTAAGGATATTGCCCACTCACTGGTCGAGTTTCGTCGTCGACGCGGTATCTGGCTGGGCGAACGCACCGCTCGTCCTGCTGGCGGCCGTCTAGCAGAGGCAGGCACCTTGTGCGAGCCACCGCCCCCGCCGCCGCCGGCGCCGCCGCCACCGCCGTAGCCTCCAGCGCCACCACCTCCGCCGCCACGGCGCTTGTGATCCGAGGCACTGCTGGAACGAGACGAATCCGAGCTGGAGTCGCTCTGAGAACTGTTTGAACTGGAATATGATGTGTTGGATGTGTAGCTCCTGCGGTCACGTCTGCGACGATCTTCCCGATCGTACGAGCCACGTCCCATCGATTTGGATCTCATCCAGGGATCGCTCCACTCGTCGCCCCTGCCACCGGCAGACTCCACACGCTGCACGATCACCTCCCGTGCGGGACGCAGCCGACGATCATCCTCATAGTGTGGCATTCGATGTGGCGGTAGCTCCCGATATCTGGTCATTCTGCCATACGCATCGACATCCTCGTAAGGCATCGGCATATACTGCTGCCGGCCGTAACGCTCTGGCGCCGGTGGACCGTACATTGGGTACTGCAAGGGGAAGAGAGCGCGGGAATTAGCATGACTGCCAGTAGATGAAGCTGGTAGATGCATGGGTAGTGGAAGTGCAAGTTGCTGCTCACGCACCGGTGCTGGTGTCGGTGAGCCGGACGGGCTGCTGTTGTTCCCACGTTCCTTGAGGTAGTACGGGTCCTTCTCAAGCTCGTCGGGCGAGAGGGTTAGGTTCATTTTCTTGTCCTCAAAGTCCATATCCTGCTCCTTCCGCTTGTTCGCCTTCCGCATCATTTCCTTGGCCGTTCGCAGTCCCCGCTCCCAGGCATTCTCCACCACCACGGGCCCATCTGGCAGGAGAACAGGCCTCGCCTCATGATGGTTCGCATACATGCTCGGCGCATGATGCACCGTCGGCGGTCGATGATGCAGCGGCGGCCTCTCGTTCCGATAATCGTGATAGTCGGCCGGCGATGCGGCATGTGGGGCATATGCACTGACGGGTCGCGGGGCAGAAATACCGCTGCTGCCGCCACCGCCACCACCAGGACCGCCACCACCTCCGCCGCCGCCACCGCTGCCACCACCACCGCTACTGCCCTGCATGGGCACAGATCGCACGAGACCCTCGAACATTGTGTAGTTGCCCTTGTCGGTGACACCGGGATGCAGGAAGCGACAACTCATGCCCCAGGTGCACTGGCCACGCGTGTAAAACCTACAGATGGGCTTCGGTTCTGTTTCCTCGGGCCGTTTCTCATCCTCATCGGACACCTCGCCCTCCTCCAGCTCCTCCTCGTCCTTTTTCTTTTTGGCAGCGGCGGCAATTTCTGTGGCGCTGTCCACCTCCAGTGTGCCATTTTTATCGTCATCGCCAACAACGCGGCCATCTTCGATCTCCTTGTCGCCACCCTCCACTTCGCCATCGTCATCGTCCGAGTGTCGATTGGACGTGGATGTGGGTGACGATGAGTTGCCCTTGGATGTGGTGTTTGTTTGATTGGCTTTGCCATCGGCATTGGCCCGATCCCGATCCCGTTCACGATCCTCGTCCCTGTCTCTGGCTATGTCCGGACACTCGCCCTCCTCCGCCTCAAAGTCGAGGGCATCGTCGTCGTGTGTCTTGACAAGATCCTCCTCCTGCAGACCCGTCGACGGCGGCGCTTCCCTGCCATTAGTGCTGTCCTCAGTCTGTACAAAAGAAGATTACAAAAGATTAGACCACGAAAAATATGGCGTAGAGATGGGGTAAATCCAACTTACATTTGATTCAGTGGGTGATGCTCCTCTCTCCAGCGGACTGTTTATCCGTGGAGCCTTGCCGTTCAGCTTCCCGTCGTTAGCGGCAGCGGCATCAGCGTCAGCGTCAGCATCCTCATTATCATCGCGCAGACCTGGCAGTGTATCATTGGAAATGGCCCCGTCATCATCATCTACATCGGGATGGAGTGAGTTTTTCGACGACGCCCGCTTCTCGTCTGTGTCAATTTCACTCACATCACTCAGATCCTCGTGGCTAATGTTGAGATCCACAGCCGCCTGATTGTACAACTGCGGGCTATTGCTGTGACTTCTCACGGAGGAGAGGAGCGAGTTTTGCGGTGATTTGGTGCCGGCATTCGGTGAGCCAACACTGCCCCCAGCCGTCGGTGGCACTGAGTCGGGCCTCGAGTCGGGTCTCGAGTCGGTGGTGGTCTCCTCTCGGTCACGCGGCCGCTCGTTCACCGCACGATCTGGTTCTGGGTCCGCTTCGTCCTCGCTGCCGGAACTGCTGCTACTGCTGCTATCACTGACGCTGCCCGAGCTGCTGCTCGAGCTCTTGTTCTGCAACTTTGACCTTTGGCTGCGGTTCGAGCTGGAGCTTGAGTTCGATGAGGAGCTGCTCGTGGAGTCCGCCCTTCGGGATCTGTTCATTGCAGCAGCGGCGGCGGCCGATGCAGCGGCGCTGGATGTCACATCCGCCGCATGGCTAGACGCGTCCTCGTCCGCACCACCACCCGTTTCCTTTATGGGTGAGTTCGAGCGTGACTCGCTTGAGTTGGATGGGTTCGTGCTGGCGCGTGAGTCATCCGACTCCATGGTGAGCATGGACTAGCCTTGTCCCTTGTGGGGCAGCAGCAACTCCGTTCGCTATGTTCCTGCAGGTGCAGAGATGAGAGAGGGGTTACTGGAAGTCAATTGGGAAAACTTTCGTCCACATAATTTATCTATGTATATATATATATATATGATCGATAATCTTAATCAATCGTCGGATATGTGGCCGACGCGCATAATGGAGCATGATGGAAGGGTATGGTCTGCGAGCTTTCGGAATCGATGATTTGTTGGAGCAGATGGGAGCGGAACAGCCGTCCAAGGTTTTAAGGCTGGGATGAACAGACAATAATCAATCCCCCTGGAGATGCGATATCAATTTATTATTCTTGCGACAGATATGCACCATTCCAACGGAAACGACAATGATATGGGGCGACGAAAACAGAGCCAATGACTGGGCCAAGGTCAGGGTCAGGGCCACCCACCGGCAGCAAATAATGCACCCAACAAATATCGATGCGCTGTCGATTACTCAATGAATATCGATCCCCCCAACAATGTGCTTGGTGGCGGTGGTTGTGGTGGGTGTTTTTTGGGGTATACAAAGGGGCTTAAGAGTTTTTCGTAATATTTTTGTTTTTGGTTTTACGTTTTTGTTGAATTCTTACCTTCATTTCGCTTTTAATTTGGTTTATGTTTATATTTTCTTTCATTTTCATTTTGATATTAATTTCTTGATGTGTATGTGTGTGCTGTGTGCCGCTTCTTTCGTTTGTTCTTCGTTTTTCTCGAGACTTTTCGCGAACGTGAGATACGGAACATTGAGAGATTTGCGAGTGAGGGAGAGAGCAAGGGCAAAGCAGCGACCCGTACGGCTACGGGGGGGCAAACAACGGGTAACGGAATACTTTACTTTAAAAAAAGTCAGAAAAATACAGCCTTTTGCTCTCTTCCCGCTCCAATGAAAGTACACACACACATACACTCGACTCGACACTCGAACTCACACACTCTCACATACGTATACATTATGGTATGTGGGAGAGACACTACGAGACCTACACACAAACACAGACACTGTTACTGTTAACACAGAAAGCTAAGGTGTGAGAGAGATAGAGAGTTTAACTTTACTGCCGGACTTTTTTCGCACTTTTCGCGACCGACGAACAGACGGAGAAGAGTCTGCTCAAAAGAAAGGGGTCCAATTAAGTGTTTACTTTGCACTTAATATTCTTTTTTTTTTCTCAAATATACTCTTTTTATTTTGCTATTTTTGCATAAACCACTTTTCACATACGCAGTTGACTTTACTTGATTTGAGTTTTATTTGATCTTTTTTTTTTTTTGGGTGGGAAAAATAGAATACTTGAAAAGAAATGAATTTGTTGGTTGCCTTTTGTTGCAATATGTACAATATTGTTGTTGCTGCTTACCTATGGATGGGACGAATGGGTCGAGATGTGCGGTCGCGGGCACGGACACAGGCACGGACACGCGAGAGTGCCACCACAGATCGGCGCCTCTTTCAGCACCGCCACCGGGAATCAATCGTTTTCGTCGATTTCTTCTATCTGTCTGTCCCGACTGTCAGACTGCCGTCTGCCTGTCGCGCGTCGCTTTCGCCTTCAATGTGTGCGCTGCTGCTGCTGCTCTTGGCCTATGGCTATGCAGTGTGTCGGAGGCGATTGGCAATGGGTCTTCCACCCACTGTCCTTGCGCAATTTGAAGATATTGCTGCAGCTTGATTATCACTTTTACCTGAATTTGTTAGCACGCTGTATTGGTGGTCTTAAGGGCAGCCGAGAATAACTTAATCCACATTTAATTTTTTCGTCACAATCCAATGCCGCCGCTACTACCGAAAATATGGCCGCTTCTAGGGCTGGGTAAAATATATCGTTGGCGCTATCGATATTAAGCCGACCATCGATACTATCGCGCGGAATATGCAACATTGAAATTTTATACATATTTCATACAGTACATTTATGCATAGGTGTAGCTAAGAAGAAGTTATGGACTCGCAATATTTTTTAGCTATATAAACATTACATGAATGAACAATTTTATTTTTTATCTGTTAAATTTTGAATTTATTTGCAGCCCTTAAATTTTTCGATAGTATTGTCCTCTATCGATGTTTTTGCGCCTAACAGCACACTTTTTCCTTGGAATTGCATTTAGCAAAAAAACAATTAATTTGCTAAAACAAGATCTTCATAGACAGAAATTCACTGTAAATTGAATATATATATTTATTTTGGATTTTTCAATGATGGTTGGATTATGTAATCATAAATTTATCTAAGCCTCTTGTATTTCCACTTCTCTATTGCCTGCAAACACTGGTTCCCCCTCCTCCACCAATGGTGCTGTTGCCAACCAAAACGTTACGTTTTCTGCAAATATGCAGACAAAACGCAAAATGCCCACCAACAATCCGGACCACGCCACTCTGGGGTGCCACACAGCGGCTCTACGCATCCAGCCCCATCGATATGAACTTCGAGCTGTTTGAGGGCAAAACGAGCGACTCCAGCGGGGCACCGCTCATCACAATGCACGGCCTGTTCGGCTCCAAGCAGAATTGGCGCGGCATCAGCAAAGCCCTGTCCCAGCGGACCAACAGGAAGGTGAGTGCAGCAGGCACCCAATACTGGTTGTACCAAAAATCAAAATGCGTATCCTCCATGCACAGATCTACACAGTGGATGCCCGAAATCATGGCGAAAGTCCTCACACGACCATCCACAACTCGCCGGCTATGTCGAGCGATGTGCGCCGCTTCCTGGAGATACGATCCCATCCAAAGGCCTGTCTGATGGGCCACAGTATGGGCGGTCGCACAATGATGCACTTCGCCCACAAGTATGTATGTATGTTTGCGGCGTGCGCGCCAGATGAAACCGCTAACAAGTCTCTTTCGTACGCCAAATGCAGCCGGAAATGACGGAACGTCTGATTGTCGTCGACATCTCGCCCATTAGGGTGCCGCGCTCCACTGGCGAAATGCAGCGCATATTCGATGCCATGGTTAATCTCAGCCTCTCGCCGGATCTGTCCATGTCCGAGGGACGAAAGCAGGCCAAGCAGCAGCTGCTGCAGGCCACCGATTCGAATGAAACTGTCGAGTTTATCATGCTAAATCTGAGAAAGGATCCCCAAACAGGAGCGTAAGTAATGCGTCTGCTGTTGCACTGCTGATTTACAATCACAATTGTTTGTTGAATCCCATCTTCAGGTTCTCGTGGGCCTGCAATGCCCAGCTGCTGCGCGATTTTCTACCACGCTTTCAGGACTATCGGTCGCACTTTGCGTCCCTGCCACCGTATAAGGGACCAACCGCCTTCATTTGCGGCACTCAGTCGCCATACATGAAGTAAGCATGAGGTTGAGGTTCTAGCCATGGCAAACCCACTCCCATCTCCCATTCTACCATTACAGACGCGAGGATTGGCCACAGATTCTGGAAATGTTTCCCAATGCCGAAATCCATTGGCTGGATGCCCACCATCTGGTGCACTTTGACCAGCCGCAACAGTTCATCTCAATTGTCACCGAATTCCTCAATAGACCATTGAGTGCCTCATAAGGTTTTTAGATATTCAAATTGTACAAAGCATCTTATAAGAAAAAGAGAAACCAAAGCACACACAATGATGTTTACTCTCCCCTCGGTCACAGTCGCCAGCTGCGATCGTTTGACAGGACTTCGCTTTCGTACAGCAACACCAAATAGAACGAGATGGCAGTACATGGCAACATGGTGCACCATAAAGTTGGGGCACACGCATGAGCAATGCACTTATTAAGCCTACAGGGATGTTCCCAACATTGGATACGATACATTTTCCTGTCGAATACAATTATTCTTATAGGCAACACTTTTAGCATGATAGAGAAACAGAGAACGGCATACAGTAGTTTTCCTGATTATATCTCTACTAAGGTGTTCGCCCATTTCCCTCTGTCTATTTTCATACGTTTTAGCCTGTAATCCAACCATATTTACATCAGCTTTATGGCTCATAACTCAGTGAATTGGGGTAGAATTTGACGATTTTGAGACGATGATGGGGGAATTTTCAGTGCATATTTAGACGAAGTGTAATATTTTTGTTCCTTCCCTCGGAAGGAAGCCTTTACTACCTAAAGAAATCTCAGCCAATGAACAAATCCCTCCTTTGTGCTGTCGGCCTGAGCTTAATGCTCTGAAGAGTGGTGCAATGGACTAGCCATAGGCCGCTGGCCTAAGGACTTTTTTTCAAATTATATCAGCTGGGTGTGTCAAATATGATGGATCTTATAAAGCTATAGCTATACAAATCCAGAGGATTCCCTCAATTATCCAAAGAATTTAAAACAATTTCTTGGTTATTTTTGTTACATTTAAAATGTAATTTAATTTCTCATTCTTGTTCGGCGTATGATTTTCAGATCAGATTTTCCGTTTTCTCCATAAGTGTAGTTCGTTTTTATGTTTTTGTTTTTGTTTTGTTCTCTTGTTAAAAAATATACATTACACAGACACGAAACGAATGCCATGAAGAAGCTTGATACAATCCGTATGCTGCATACAAAAAAAATTGACAGCAAGTGTTCGAATTTGTTGTTGTTGTTGTTGGGTTTTATCCGTGTTTGTGTAAGTATATAATATACGTGTATACGTGTGTATATGTTTTTTGTATGTGGTTTCACTTACAAACTAAGAATAAATACATGTAAATTAGGGGGAAATCACATTGCACTTAAAAATAATATAGTCAAGAGGTTAAAAAAAAATTATCCATAAATGAACACAGTTCTGCGTGCGATGGTGTGGCTGTGGGTGTGTGGGTGTGTGGCTGTGGGTGCGTTTTGTGTTCTTGTGATACAATACATCAAACATCAAACAGGAATGGTGGGTATAAACATTTGTGCTAAGGCTAAAATGGTTTTGATAATGTTTTTCGATTTGATGTGTGTGTGTGTGTGTTTGTGTGGGTGTGAGAAGTCATTGATTTTGTCTCACAGATTTTTTTGTAGTTCTTTCTTTAGTTATTAGTTTTGCTCTAGTTCTCTCTCTTTTTGTTCTTTTGTTTTTTTTTTTTTTTTTGTATTTTGTGCCTTTTTTGTGTGATTCTTGTTTTTTTTTTTTGGTTTGTAGTTTGGTTAGACGATAATTCCGCCATCGTAGGCGTAGTCTGCCTTGTTGTGCATGACAAGACGATTCTCCACAAAGTAAAAGCTGTCCGAGCGCGTTTCAAAGGGGCTCGATATCATTTCAGCAACTGCAATCACAGAAAAACAGAAAAAGAGATAAGAAAACTCAGCAATCCAATTCTACGCCCTGTGGCCCGCCTCTATGCTGTAGCCTTGACCCACAAACCCACAGAGAAGGGAGATATTTTTCGTCTTTGTCGTTTTTTTTTTTTGGCAGCAGCCTCTGACTGCGCCTGCACTTATGTAAATTGGCGCCCCACTGCCTACCTAGGTCGGGTGGAAGATTAGGAAACTCGTAGATGTGCTCGCAAGTGTTCTTCGAGTACGGAATGCAGTAGCCAAACTCAAAGTCAAAGGTTTTCAGCAGGCGATCACGGAAGAAGTGGCGCTCTATCATCCGAAAATTATTCACTGGCTGACTGCCCACAGTGAACTCCACCCTGGGGAAAAGAACCAAAGTTAACATCCATAATAGCTGATATATGCATATATGTACATGTGTATATGTATAGGGGAAGACACTTACGTGGCGCCCACAGTTTTTAGGTTGAGAAATGCCGGAGTGAACTGATAGCGCACATAGCGTCCGGCATTGGGATCGGCAGTGTCGTCAAGCGATAGCTCCTCGGCGGCGGCCAGCATTGTCTCCTCCACGGACAGGCCGTCCGGGAATTGCTCGCTGGGTGGCTTGGCGATCTCGAAGAGCACAGCACCGCTCTCCAGGTCACGTATCTTGAAGCGTGTAAAGTCTATTTCGAACACATTGGCATTGGCCGAGCAGAGGTAGTCGTCCGTGATCTTGGTGAGGTGCAGCACCTCCTCGGGACTGACCTTAGACTCCTCCTTGCGCTTGCCCTCGGCCCCGGCTCCGCCAGCAGCAGCAGCTCCAGCTCCCATTGACCCGCCGCCGCTGACGTTGCCGTCACCGTTGCCCGGGACAGAGACAGAAGCGGCCGCCGCAGCGGCACTGGCAGCGGCAGAAGCAGAGGCGGTGCTGGAGGAGGAAGATTGCACGGGATTCAATTGCTTGCCCACGACACTCATGACTGGACGCGGCTGGATGGATATCGACTGTGGCTGTGGCTAAGGTCGTCTGTTGGATTGTCTCCTTTTGGGTGGATGGCTGGTGTCTCTGCTTCTGGGGTCACTCCTACTGTACGCTCTTTGCTCCGGCGGGGCAGCGCTCAAACTGCAGCAAGAACAGTGTGGATTAGAAGGGGGCAGGGGTTGGTTTGGGTTGGGGGGAAAACTGCATTAATTAGTGGATAATTAACCCCTGGCTGCACGCAAGGGTGAGCGAATACTCACCAGAACATATACACGCATCGAGAGTTGCCATAACATTCGCCAAAAACAACAACACAAAAACGCGACCCAATTTCTGGAAAAGCTCCGTTCTATGTGCTTGTGTTTGTTTTTCCTTTGCTCTTCCGCACTGTGTGGGTGTGTGTGTGTGTGTGGTGTGTTGTGTATGTGTGCACATGCAAGGGTCGGTGGCTATGTGTGTGTATGTTTTCCTTTCTTTGTGGTGTTGCTGCTGTTGCCTTTGAGTTGCTTCTACTGCTGCTGCTACTTCGGCTGCCTGCCCCGTGGCTGCTTCTTATGTTTTAACTATTGTGGATAAACATATGCATTGCATATTATCACATTTAGCTATCTAGTTTTATTTAAATTCTAATCATTTTCTCCTATTTAATAAAAACCAAACTAGAGGTGTCAAACCATCGAGGGCACTATCGATAGTATCGATATTTTACTGCTAGTCTCTACTATCGACGGTGTTGCGACTATCATGATATTATCGAGCTACAGTCGTTGCGCTTTTGATATGTTTGGATTGGCTGCTATAAAATACGAGGACACATTTGTAAACAAATCGACAGGTGGCATCTAATTTTTACAATGGACAAGTTCCTAAAAGGTTTCAATGATTTTTTAATAATTATTAGAGCTATCACGATAGTATCGATTGTTTTTTCAAAACATTCAACGTTGATATTCTTCGATTTTGATATTCCGTTTTACATTACTAGCTAGCTGGAACTCTCAGCCCCAAACAAATAATTTTATCCGATAGATACATACATTTCCTACAGGATTGGCTAGTTTTTAGAACTCCTTTTTCATTGGATTATTTACATATTAAGGTTAAAACAAAAACGGCCAGCATAAAACGAATTAATGTCGCGTTTGTGGCGCTGCCAGACTCGTTCAAGTCAGTAGTTGCTGGGGCTGCCATACCAAGTATATTTTGTGAGTATGAAATTTGTCAACTTTGATATTCTTTAATATTACTAATGGGCCCTGTCAGCCCCAAACAATAATTTGTATCCATAGATACAGTGAAATTTTTTTTATGAGTTTTCAGAAGTCCTTGTATTGGCATTATTTACATATTAAGTCTAACAAGCATAACGAATTTGTCGTCGTTTTGTGGCCTGCCAATACATTCGTATTCCCGGGTCTGCCATACCTGATATTTTGTGTTGAAACTCGTCAATTTTGCCAAGTTTCGTTTAATAGTACCCTCTAGCCGAAAACAGATAATTTTAGTCTCGATAGATACATAATTGGAGACGGAACATGAACAAATTCAATACCTTCCCGTCCATACATTTCAATTTTCCCAAGAATTTCAGCATTGCTGCCACACCCGTGCGGGAAAGTCTCCACAAAAACACTCTATTCTCCACTAAAAGAGTCCTCCCCACTGAGGCCCAAATGTCAGTATTTTTGGTGCGCTAAATTGAGTTTGGCGGTCAATTTGAAATGTGTCTTAATATTTGGAAAAATAAATATTTCACTTTTTTTGTTTTTTCGAGTGACCTCAAAAACCTCAGAAACCGAGAACCAGTAACCAGTAAATAACAAAAAAAAAATCAATAATTAATAATTTTTTTAGCATGATACTATGCGTTAAAGCTTCGTTGGGAAAAATATCATAATATTACGAATACATTGATTTTGAGATATGGTGATACAATTTTCGACGCACACACAAAAATAATCGGTATTTTTATGCGGCGAATTTGGTTTTCACACCACACCACACCAAATTGCCAGTAGCCGATAGTTGAATGCAGCTCTGCGTATGACAATGGAGTGGTAACACTCTTGGCGCGCTGCTACTTGAATTTGAACTAACTTGCCACATGTCCTTTGAGTACAAATAATTGTGCTCCCTGTTTATAGCTTAGTTAAACCATAGCCTCTTATCCTTTCTAAAGCCCGAACGAACTTTTGAGGTTTCAAATGCCTGAGGAATGGCCACACTGTTAAAAAGCTCCTAAAAAAAATTCAAACTAAATTCAAACGCATTCAATATGGATCCCTAATATTAGCATGACAATCATTTGAATATATTTGCATTGAAATATTCATTTTGTGCATTGAAATAGCCATTTTCTTATATACACTTGCATGCACACATATGTATGTATGTATGTATGTTTGTTCAGTATGCACAGATTTCCCCCGCAATATTCACTGCTGCAGCAGCCGGATGCACTTGAAACGAGGCCCATCCCAATTGTGGCTGGCAATTAGTTAATGTCCATGAAGATTACCCGAGTTCCAGCACAGGGGGCCCTCCCTTTCTTCCCCTTCGGGCCTCTCAAGTGTCTCGGGTGAGCGCCAGTCCAGTGGTTGTAGCTATAGGATCTGGTCTTGCTTATACTGGGTTCAAGAGCCCTATCCCATTTCCAACCCAGACTTAAGGGCGCCAAAGTCTGATCATTTCGATTTGGTCTGCATATGCACTTACATACATACTTATGTGTATCTGTATGTACGTATGTGTGTATGTGTGTGTGTGTGTGTGTGGGTAGGGTAGACCAGACGACTACTTAGTATAATTCTAGTTACTTCTTCTTGCTATGGCTGTTGCTGTTGCTGTTTCTGTTCATGTGGCTGTTGTTGCGCCTTAAGTTGGTATTTTAATATTCACAGCCAGACCCAGAAGAGTGTTAAGTTTCAGAGGCCGCATGCCATGTCCGCCCGCCATCTGTCCGTCCGTCCGTCCGTCCGTCCGTTCGTCCATCCGTTTGTCCGTGTGTGCCTTTGGTTCCACTGTCCGTTGGCGTCCGCGTTTCCTGTATGGTTTTTGCCTCTGTTCCTCTCTGTCTGTGTCTCTTCTTGCGTGTGTGTGTGTGTGTGTGTGTGAGTTTGTGTCTGCCTCTATGTGTGTGTGTGTGTGGCAGTGAGAACGTGTTCACTTCTATCTTTAGTACAGTTTGACTGCTGCAGCCGCACACTGACGAGAGGAATCCGATGCCCATAACCAACCCAAAGACTTGATTTATCCCCAAACTCAAGCTCCAACCCACAGTCTGGACATATCCGCTCCTGAAAATGATGGAATTTGACACATCTTGGAAGGTACAGAGAGAGGAGAAGACAGAGGAGGAGCGAGATAAAGAGAGAGAGAGAGAGAGGAAGGGCTTAGGAATTTGATTGATAATCCTTCTTGCTCGGGCAGTGGGCAAGGAATGTGGCAGGTATAAGGACAGGGTACAGAGCTTAGTTTTGGTAAGGATCAGGTTGCAGCCCCAATTCAAAAACTCACTCAGCCTTCCAATAGGATTCCCTGTTCCCTGTTTCAAATCTGATCAACATTTAGATTGGTTTTTTGGGGACCTCTGCAGTACAAAAATTGAACACAATCAGACATTTTTAGCTAGGGCAACGACAAAAGCTCATTACGACGCGCCATTTTTAATGGATTTCTTTTTGAGTTCAAATCATTTTGACAATTAAAGTTTGTCTACGAATCTTTACAGATAGATCTCAACCCAATTCCAAGATACAACTTTCAATAGTTTCAAAAAATAAAAGCAATTCCGGAAAAACCAATTGACAAAAATATGAATTCCCACAAAGCTGCATAATTATAATTATGTGCCCCAGGCCAGGACTCTGGGGATAGAATACAAATATTGATTTGATTGTTGGCATTACAGGAGTGGGAGTAGGAGTGGGAGTAGGAGTAGGGGTCTATGTATTCCCAAAAATGTACCAACTATGGGAATACGTATTACCAAATGGGTATAGCGACATTTTTTCGTTTACGTCCCGGGGGCAGCAAGAGGAGAGATGCATTCATAGAACTCTAGTAGTACCTCTTGTGCATGTGCGAATGTGTGTGTGTGTGTGTGTGTGTGAGTGCATGACAGGGTATCGAAAACAAACAGTAGAATAACAACAGCCGAAATCGTGGGCGATTAAATTCGTACTCGAATCGAAGTCATTGTCACTGGCGGGGTTACGTACTAGTTGCTCTAGCCGAAGGGGGGTTTGTCTATTCGAGGGGTTTAAGTGAATGGACATATGTACGTATGTATACTTGATGAGAATCAACAGGCGATTCGCGGGGCCCCCCCGTTGAACTGCATTTGTTTGTCTCTACTACGCCTCTGCCACTATCCCAAGTGGCGATGACGTTATGTGTCGGCTGTGGCGCGCCGGACGGTCTGTCGTCGTCAGCGGTGGCGGCGATGCACTCACACATGCACACGTGGTACTTGTGTGTCTGTATTGTAACACCTCCCAACCGTCGCACCGCCCGACGCCTTCGTCGTTCGTCAAAAGCGCCAACACCACCAAAACGAAAGAAGAAGCAGCGCAGTGGCAGCAGCAGCAGCAGCAGCATATAATCTAAATGGAATTTTGCTTTTGCTTTGCGCTTCGCTTTTTTTTTTCGAACGATTTCTCAACCTAAGATACCAGGCCCCCGCCCCCGGCCCACGGCCCCACAGGCCCCATAGGCCCCATAACCCCTGGGGCCCACAGAGAGCTCAGCGCGACGCCGACGACGCCAGCCAACGTAGATGTTTTCTGCTGCTGCTGCGCTGGTCAGCCCACTCCACGGCACCACGCCACACTCCATGCCTCCCGCTGATGCCCTCGTTTCGACCGCTGTGCTCTCTCTCTCTCTCACTCACTCACTCACTCACTCGCTCACTCTCTGTGTGCGTGTGTGTGTGCCTGTGTTTGTGTGAGTTTGGATTTTTCTGGCGACAGACTGTCTGGCCTGACTCTGCCGCTGTCGCTGTCGCTGCCAAGTGGTCTGCGTCAGGCGCACCGCACCGAACCGCACCGCACCGCCCCTCGCCCATCACACGTTTGTTTGCCTTTATATGGTGACTGTATGTATGTATGTATGTTTGTATGCACATATGCATGTATGTATGTATGTACATATGTATGTTTGCATGAACTTTTGCTGCTGCTGTATTTTGTTATTGTTCCTCCTGCTGCATGCATGCATTCATACATAGCAATGTACATACATAAATACGTATGTATGTATGTATGTATGTATGTACATGGCAGTGGTGCTGATATGGATTCTCAATGCTGTACATAGATTTTTGTGTGCCAGTGTGTGCGCGTGCATTGTAGGTATCCCAAAGCGACGCCACATGCACACACTCGTACTCGTGCTACAGTGATCACTGCCACT